CCAAAATTAAATTACAATTCAATTGCGGGACATAAAGAACATTCTCAATAGTCAAACCCCCTTGCGAAATCACTGAGCCAATGTTGTTAGCATTGGCATATTTTCCATCCGGCAATCCCACCGGACAATTTTGAACATTAGAAACATTTGTCAACAAAGATAACTCGCAAGTGACATGATTTAATGCCCCGGTATCAATGATCCAACCCGGGTCATGGTTACCATTAGTCTTGGATTTTAGACCATTTAGATGACTAAGAAGCTGCTGATATTGATCAGAAGAAAGACCCACAAAACGTTGCTCACCACGGCCAGCCATCACACTCACAATGTAATGTCACGAGATTGTCACAATTAATTTCACAAGTCCTCACAAATAAAAGAATTAATCTCACAATTCCTCACAAATAAAGGAATTAATCTCACAATTCCTCACAAAATTTGTGAACCCCACAAACTCACGAACCTCACAAATTTGTGTATGTATAAATCTCCAAGTAGTGAACTCTCAGTCACACTCTAATTGTGCGTGAACAATGAATGTTACGAACAACAAAAAAAATTAATTAATTTTAGATCTCACTCAGACTCTTGATACCATGATAAAATATGATCGTATAATTCTATGTGTAATTCTCTGTATAATTCTCATTAATCACAATGGCCACATACAATATTTATATATTAGGTATACTTGGAGGGCAAGACCAAATAACCTAAAAATAGCTCACAATATTCTCTACGATATATTTTCACAATATTCACAATAACTATCTTGTTTCCTGATATATATCCCAATAAAAGTAGTGAAAAAAATATAATGGAGATGAAGAAGGCAGTAAGTTTGGCAATCTTGGTCGTAGCCATTTTGGTGGTTGCGACAGAAGCCGCGGCTGATGAACCCCTATTGGGTGTCCGCAATGGACAACTCTCAGATCCCGTCCTCTTGGCCATCATACGCCGAGAGCTCGAGAAAAAATCTAATAATAACGGCCTTACTTGCCACGCACACATTGGGGAGGCTTGCACACCATATGTTGATGGGTGTTGCGAACGCCTTCATTGTGTTGGTGTTTGCATCCCATTACCCCTATTCTATTAACTATATACTCTCTAAGAAAGAGTCTCTACTCTCTAGTAGCAATTAAATAAAGGAAGGTACAATATAATGTATGTCATCTTCCCCAAATATGGTGTGTATGTATGTATGTATGTATTTGCATGGCGAGGGAATGCTGCATCTATCTATAAGGTGCTAGCAAACTCTACCTAAGCTAAGTTGTACTGTGCTTACTTTCAATTTAGTTTAAACCTATTTATGGGCCTGTTCCGATTGACTGAACTGAGCTGAACTGAACAGAACTGAGCTGAACTGAACTGAACTAAACTGAACTGCACTGAACTGAACTGAACTGAAATTATTAATTAGTGATTTTTAACTACGGATTAGTGATCTTTGATTATTTATTGATTATTTATTACTATACATATGTGTATATACAAATGTACATATTATTATTATTATTATTAATTATTGATTATTATTATTATTATTATTTATTGATTATTATTATTATTATTATTATTGTTATTGTTATTATTATTATTATTATTATTATTATTTATTGATTATTATTATTATTAGTATTATTATTTCAATTATTATTGTTATTATTATTATTATTATTATTATTTATTGATGATTATTATTATTATTTATTACTTATTGATTATTATTATTATTGTTGTTGTTGTTGTTGTTGTTGTTGTTGTTGTCGTTGTAATAAGAGCTTAAAAGAATGAAATTTGGCTTTATATCATTAGCAATATCATTAGACGTAAATTAAGAGCTGAACTGAACTGAACTGAACTGAACTGAATTTCAACGGAAGAGAACAGGCCATATGTTGTCGTTCATTAATTATATCATTATCTCAACTCATCAAACTCTAGCATTTGTAATGTGTGTCCTGAGACTCCGGACTCCTGAACGATAATCCGGCGTAAGGTAGTAAATTACAACATTTTTCAAAAGTTAGGTAGTCAATTACAACATTTTTTTTAATAGGTAGTTTCTCGCAAATTCTGGACTATAATTGGTAGTTTTTCACAAAATTTCCTTTTTAATAATAGTAGATTAGTACAGAGTATAATTCCCCTTGCATTGTGGTATCAAGTACATAATTACAGTTCTCGTAAAAAAAGGTACATAATTAGAGTTGGGCCCTATTCTTTTGAGCTTTTGGGAAGAATAGAGCAGATTTCATTAAAACAGAGCAGAACAGATTTCAACATAGTAGAGCAGGGCAGAGCAGATTGGAGCTGAACTGAACTGGACTAAAATTTATGAAATTTTATTTTATAATATATTTTAAATGAAAGATGAATAGTTTATAATGGAGAAGAAGGAGTGGAAATTGAATTTAATTGTAGAAGATATTAAGTTGGAGGAGAGTGAATCAAATAACATTCATACATGTATTGAATAAAAGCTATGAGTAGTGTGTGTGTGTGTGTGTTTTTTTTTTTTTTAATATGAGAAAGGGGATTAATTAATGAAAATGTGTGGTGAAATGTGACAATGGTGAAAAATAATAAATTTTATATGTGACATGATGGGGAAGATGGTTTGTATTTTTATTAAATACTCCCTCTTTTTTTTTTTTTTTAATGCATCACTTTTCTTTTAAGGGGTGTTTTTTTTTTTAAATGCATTTTTCCTTATTTGGTAACTTTATATTATATTTTAGGATTTTTTTTTACTTTTGCTACCTGTGAAACAGGTGTATTTTATTTGTGCTACGTAGGAAAAGTTTTATTTTATTTTACTACCTATCAAATCATTTTTTTTAAATTTCGCTACCAGTTAACGGAATCCGACGGATTCCGTTAAGTTTTTTTTTTTAAAATAATAATAAATTTAAAATTAAAAAATTATTTTTTAAAAAAAAAAAAACCAAACCACCCCCTACCCTCTGCCGGCGGCTGGCGCCCAAACCCCCTCCCCTCTGCCGGCGACCCTTTCCCTCTCCCTTTCCCCCTCGAACGCAGCCCATCCATTCCCTCTTTTCCCCCTCATTCTTGCTGCCCCGACCCCAACCACCACAGATTGCGGCTTCTACGGGAAAAAGGACTTCTACTTCGCCGGAAAACAAGGGTGCGGCTTTGTCAACGAAGGTAACGGTCTCGGGGCTAGTGATTATCTTTAATTTTTGGGTCGATTTTGGGGAAAATCGATTTTTGGGTCAATTTTGGGGGCAATCGATTTTTGGGTCGATTTTGGTGCTGCGATGGGGGATGCGATGGCGATGGTGGGGGAAGGGAGGGGGCTGCAATGGCGATGGTGGGGGAAGGGAAGGGGCTGCGATGGTAGGGGAAAGGAGGGGGATGCGATGGTGGGGGCTGCGGTGGTGGGGGAAAGGAGGGGGGCTGGGTTTGCCGACGGCGGCCGCCGTTAGGGGGATGGGGCTAACGGGAGGGCTGGACTTGGTGGCTGGTTTTTTAAATTTTTTTTTTTTTATTTTGGTGGCTGACGGGGAGACATTTAGGGTGACTAAGGAGGTAGTGGTGGTCGGAAGGTGGTAATGAGGGTGGCTGGATCTCACTAACGAAATTATTAACTGAAAACGTTAACTGGTAGCAAAAGTTAAAAAAAAGGGCATATGTTAGGTAGTAAAATAAAATAAAGGTTTTCATAGGTAGCAAAAATGAAATTGATGTGTTTGATAGGTAGCAAAAGTCAAAATTCCCTATATTTTATTATTTCTCTTTCTTACTTTAAACCCCACTTAAGTTATTTTATTATTTCTCTCTCTTTCATGGTCTCCACTTATATAATAAAAATATTTACTCTCATCACATTCTTTCTCTTTCATGATCCCCCATCTAACTTTTACTATAATAAACTAGCCTTCTGGCCCGTGCGATGCACGGGTTATTCATATAAAATTGTATTGATAGATAAGTGAGGAAATATCAGTAAGTCATTATAGGGTATAATATGTAATCGGAAATATGATTAAAGAAATTAAAATTTTGAAACTTTAATCGAAAAAAGGCTTATATAGAAGGTGGAAGGGCTAAAATTAAAGAGAGAATAGTAAAAGGTTGAATTAAAGGGGAGAGATGAAGATGAAGAGATGAAGTGTGTATGAAAAATGAATTATAAGTTTAATGAAAGAATTAAAAAAAATGGTGTACGGAGTAATAAAAAATTAATAGTGTAAGATGGCATGTGGCACTATGCTTAGAGAAGTGTAACAGAATGGATGGGGACATGTGTATTTCTTAGTTTCTTGGTTATAGTTTTTAAATACGGAGTACTAAGTATAGATTTTTCACTCACTCACAATATTATATTATCCTCTTAAAACTCCGCGCATCACCAAGTGATGCAAATTAATAAAAATAAATAAAAAAAAATAAAAACGAGGGAGTACTAAATAGATTGATATTACTAATACTTCATATGTTCTTTTTTTATTGCACCATAAGGGGTTTTACGCTTGCCAATGTATTATTTTGGCTATTAATATCTTTAATTATATTTTTGTAAAATTTATAAAAAAATTGATTGATATTTAAAAATAGATTTCAAGACGAATTTAACTAGATCCCACATGATGACTATGTTTTTCCTAATAGATAAATCACAAAAGATGGTCAAAAAAGATTAAGTGAATAGTGTAAAAGTTTTTATGATGCAATAAAAGAAAAACGAAGGAAGTATATCGAATTTGAGTTGCTTTTATAGACAAAATAAAGTTACGTATGGTACTCTAATGAATAAATGAAGTTACTCATACAAATGAATAAAGATTAATCATACAAATCAATGTCGTGATCAGACCGCGCACAAGTACAATGGTAAACGTTCCAACTTGTTGCAAATATTATTGTCAAATTATTTGGCTTGTACTACGTATCGATACGACATCGTACTACATCCCAAGGGCATGGCCGAAAGCCTCTATATAAAGGGGTCTTACACTAGCACGACAATCATCCTTATACAAGTAATTAAGTTAAACATTATTATATTTGTTAAGAGGCTAAAAAAATGGAAATGAGCAAGAATGTAAGAATGAGTGTTCTCTTGGTGGCTGCCTTAGTACTGGTAGCAACCATGGCACCTCCGGCCACGGCTATCCGGGGAAAAGTCCCGTTGTTGCTCGCCCTGCGACAACGAGGAATCCCGGTGACACAATCGGAAGAAGCGAAAAAGATTGAGCAAGAGCTTGCAAAAATCATGCTAGAAGCTGTTGCTGAATCTGAGTACAACAACAACAACAATAACAACAACGCTCTACGTTGTATTCCTAAGTATAACAGGTGTGGGCCTGCTGTGGATGGGGTTCAGTGTTGCCCTCCTTACACTTGTACCTCACAATACTATGGTAGTTGCTCTTAAATAATGGATTATGATTATAATTAGTCCATAAATCTTCAACATTATCCTATAAATCTATATAACACATGTTATATAGTTATTGGACTGTTACTTACGGTGATGGTACAACTAAATAAATAAGGTTTATGTGACATCGTTATTGTACTTTTACTCTTTTGCCCGCTTAAGGTGGTTGAGCACTTGTAGTCACTAGTCAGCAACCAGCTGACCTTATAGTATATTATGAATATATAATCTATTATTCTTATTAGTTTTATCTATATCGATCTTTTAATTTTATATTTTTGATATTCGGAATCTATTTATCACATTATTATAACCCTTATATTACTAAATATATGATGATGTACAGAGGAGTGGAGGACTACGGAGTATTTTATGACTTTATTTATTGATTACTAATAAAGAATTATGATCGTCTCAATCCTACAATGTTCTCCCCTTCAATGAATGTTACTCTCCCTATCACAATTTTCTTTGCTCCATTTGACTTATAAAACTTTCACTAAAAATAATTAAGTAGGACAAGTAATATCATATAAGCCTACTAATATGTGGCTATGTGCCACCTGAATTTCATGACTTGCTAAGTGCTAACCCAATCAATTTTGACTAAAAAATGACTACTTTTCCTTTTATTTTTGGACAAAAATAATATTAATACTTTCTAACAATATTTTTTAATCAAACCAACCTAAGTCACCCTTAGGGGACGTTTGGTATCAACTTAGTAAAGGTAACGGAATGAAAACAAATTAGGAGGAAAAAGGGTAATATATAGTGTTATCCTTACTAGTTGTTTGGTATTATTAAGGAAACACAAACAATTACAACTAATCCATTTTCTTTTGTTTGGCATTAAAAAGGGAAAACAAATTTTTCAAAAAAAAAAAAAAATAAAAATATTGGTGGGCGACATTAATCAAAATTCACAAGCTGCTTTATTATTGCTTCAACCTACTCAATTTTTTTTCCCCTCTTTTATCTTACTCCAATTTAATTACTCTTATCCAATAACCAAAATCATCAGCTTATCAAAAAATCAGATGACTTAGGTCACTTTTTCCTTTTATTGATCATAAAAACACAACTACACATATTCAAATCAGTAGACCATCAAAATTATCAACATCAAATCATATAATCGCAAAGGCAACAATCTTCATCGATCATTATGAAACTTCATTCATTATTCCTTTATTTTTTTAAAATTTTTGGTAGGTAAGATGTTAGAATGATGAGTTGTTGTTGAGTGATTTTATTTGACCCAATTTTGACAAGTCTTGAATAATGAAGAAAGATCTTGAACAATGGCATGCTGAGAAATCGAATTCGAAAGAGAGATATTGGGTGAATAAGAGCTTTGAGAGAGAGAGTGAATGAGAGATGTTAACATTGTTAAATGCAGGAAACGAAATTTGTTTCCTTGGGTCAAAAAGCGGAATCAAATTGGGGTGAACTGTTACACCTAGCTAACAGTATTCGTAAATTACTCTCTATCCTTTACCAAACAAGCAGTAACGGAGTGGGTTATTTGAATCCGTTTCCATGGCTTAAAAATTCTATACCAAACACCCCCTTAAAGTGTCACCATTCTCTAAACAAAATTGCATTATCTCTTTTGGCCAAAATGAATTACGGAGTACATGTTAATATATTCTTATCATTACTCATTAACGATTAATAATATATACAAAAGTATTTTAGGTTAAACTAGGAAACTATACAAGATAATTCCCATAATACAACTATACAAGATAATTACCATAATACAACTATACAAGAGATAACTATCGCGACTAATTACAAAACTATATTTACATAAATAGATTATTTACATAATCTATCATTATTCAAGTGGATGCTACACATAAATATAGAGAATTAAATCACATCCATTCAATGCTTGAATAACATTTTAGATAGATGCATGTGGTAATGTGGTATTGGCCTATATAGCGGTCTATTTATTTTAATTTTCCCATCCCCTTCATAAAAAGACTATATGAAAGTAGGAGAATGATTGAATTCTTTTAAAGTATTATTACATTCAATTTATTTTGACTTATTTAAGACAAATAAGCTTAGATAAGTGCATTATATAAAAGTTAGAAATAAATTCATATATGTTCAAAAAATGTAAATTATGATACAGTAAAAAAGAAAAAAAGAAAAAGTTTATATATGCTCACATTAATGACTTATATATGTTATAATAAAAATAGGAATATGTCATTCAGTCTATTCCTTATCTAGGTACCATGCGACCCACTAAAAATCACATTTGTAAATTGCCACCAGTCAATCTAAGGGCCTATTCTCATTGACTGAACTCAGCTGAACTGAACTGGATTGAACTGAACTGAACTGAACTTAATTGAGCTGAATTGAACTGAACTGAATATTTTATAAGAGAAGAAAATTAGTAGCTGAGCTGAACTGAACTGAATTTCAACGTAAGAGAACAGGCCCTAACTTATTTTGCATCCATATTATCCGATCAATCTCTAACTGAGGACACTATTTTTTTTTTTTTTTTTTTTTAAGGAGTTTGATATTGACATGTAACATCAATTATTGTGTATTCCAACAAACATATTTATAGCACGAGAAAATGACATAATACCACAGATTTGTAGATTGAAATCTGCATTTTTCTTTTTTATAAATAATTATACAATTGGTTGATTTTTTTCATTAATGGTGTAGGATTTGAGATAAAAACTTTTACCAAGTGAGTCGATCCTTAATTAGTATGAGTATATGATTATCATTTCTGTTAATGGACCAATTCAACTAAAAGCTTAAATTGATGGTTGTTGAGGTTCAGGAATATGTTTTATACTTTATCACGTTTAGGGGTAAGCAAACCGGGTACCCGGTCAAAATTTTAGGATCCGAACCCATAATAAGTTGAGACTGGTTTGGAATCGGAATTGGAATTGGTTCAACCGGGTCCTAAATATTATGACTTAAAACGGGTACCCACTTATGTATATAATTGTTAAAATATAATATATTTAGTTTATTTTCATTTTTAGCATTTTAACACTTGTATTTATATATTCATTAAGCTATTTTATTTATGTTAGGTATTAATAACAATTTCTTTTTTATTTTACTAACTAGATACATTTAACATAATTTTATTTTTAGAAACTTATTTAGTGTAACATATTTTGGGTAATCGGGTACCCAACCGTTTCTGGGTCCAAAAACCGAGAATTAGAATTGTAACCGGTTGCAACTGGTTCCCTAATTTATTACCTAGAATTGGAACCATCGGGTCCAATTCCGATATCGAACTCGTTGGTTTCTAACCGGTTTCAGCTCCAATTCCGGGTACCCGGAATTTTTGCTCACCCCTAATCACACCCCCTTACATGAGAACTCTTTTGGCTTAAAATGTTGATGCAACATAGGCCCTGTGCATACCGTATGTGAAATGTTCCACTTGAAAGTGGGAGGGGGTGGATGAGATTTGAACCCGTGACCTTTGTGTCACGCTGACTCTGATACCATGTTAAACCAAATCAATTAAAAGTTTAAGCTGATGGTAGAGGCTTAGGAATATGTTTTATATTCTATCTACTTATGTATATACCTTTTTAATATTGGTGTATAGAGAGCACAAGGGATGTGAATCGATTTCAGTATCTCCTGATACCGAGAGAAAGCTCTAACCACTTAAATCATCCCACACTTTCATTTTTGTCAATACCTACATGCAACATGTACAAATTCTTAAATGAACCTAGTTTACACTAATTTATTGTGGATCACTAAAATTATAGACAATATGATTGTTTTATTAATAAAAAAAAGGCACTATATATATCAAAATAAAGGTTATTATGTTGAAATAAAAGTTAGTGTGACATTATAAAAGTTATAAAAGGTTAATTTTTTAATGAAGTTTTAAATATAATGATCAATATGAATAATATTATTGTGAACCAGGTCCACTCAAAATTTTCTATCCAACATTATTTCCACCTTCCAAATCCAATCTTCCTTATCTAGGTACCATGGTACCATGCGACCCACCAAATTTCATATTCGTAAATTGCCACCTTTCAATATGACCTTTTGCATCCATCTTATCCGATCAAATCTCTCAGTGAGGAACTGAATACACTACTTTACTTTTAAGGAGTTTGGTATTGACATTTAACAATAATTATTGAATTCCAATAAACATATGTAAAGCACGAGAAAATGACATGAAACATTGAAACCACAGCTTTAAAATTGAAATTGATATTTTTCTTTTTTTTTTTAAAAAAAAAATAAAAAAATTATTATACAGTTGAAGTTGATATATTCACTAATGATGCCGGGTTTAGTGTGGCCCAAATTCCATAAACTTCAAGTAATTAATTATGTCTCAAGTTTTTCTAAACATTTTCATAAAACTAGAACGTATCGGAGCTAATTGCGTGTTCGGCAAAATATAGCTGTGAAGATAGCTGTAAACTGTGTATGAGATAGCGGTCGACTAGCTGTTACATATAAAAATTAATATTTTATATTTAAAACTATACATTTAATTTTCAACAGTTACCTCAAAGCTACCTCTACTTTCAAAAGCTAATATTTCTAACTTTTCATAAAAGCTACCTCCATCACTAAAAGCTACCCTAACCACTACTTTGCTAAACACTCACATTTTTTGTTAACTAAAAGCTACCTAAAAGCTACTCAAACACTAGCGCCAAATATGCCTTAAAGCAAGGAGTAATTGGTAGCGTCTTTGAATAACTGTAATTGGTAAGCGTCTTTGAATAACTGTAATTTGAATAGCTGTAATTGGTAGATATGGGTGGTTTTTTAAAAAAGTAATTGGAGTTGTTTTTTAATTTAAAATATATAGAAGTGGAAGTGCATATATATTGAGGATTGGAGTTTTGTAGCATTGTGGATAAAAGTAGGGGAAAAAACTAAAATTTTATACTCCGTAATAGATTCTAGCACTTTGAGAAACTGGCAAAAAATTGAGAAAAAAAACTTAGAATTGGCGAATGCTCATCATGATATGAAGATCCCAAATAGCATACATGTATGTAGATGTTTCTACACATTTCTTGGACTTCCAAATACCAACCATAATTGTTTGGTGTTGAGCGTCATTTGAAATCATGTAATTTACCTACATCCTCCACTATCCTATGTTATAATGTATAAAACATAATCCTGACTCTGATACCATGTTAGAGGATCAACTCAATCAAAAAATTAAGTTGATGATTGAGGTCTAGAAATATGTTTTATATTCTATCATTATACTCCTATCCTCTCTTATACATTTTACATTATACGAGTGTCCCTTCATACATTGTTTTGATTTGGAATGATTTTACCTATACAAGTCAACTCTCTAAGATATCAAGATCAGATATTTCTACATGCACACAATAAGATATAGTGAGAGTTAGCATTTGTAATACTCACCCCTATCTAGCATTTTGGGTACTACTTTTACTCTCCTATTTTTATAGAGTGCTTTACAATGCTATCATGGTTTTTTTAAACTAATTTTTCCATGTTAATTATTGTAGATTCCTTTTTTCTATTTGTTATGTTTATATTTCTCCTTAATTAATAATTCTCATCATTTACATCTTTTTTTTTTTTTTTTGGCTACGCGCTCATCACAAAGTCACAATCCATCCTAAAAAGTCTAGAATTTGTTATATACTATACATTCGGACGTACCGTATACCCAACTAACTCAAGGTTAGTGTTTGCTTTCTATTTGATGATTAAATATAAAAATAATCATCAAAATGAGAACAAAATATTCATGAGTATACGGTATACCCGGCCCGGGTGTATATAATAAGCTCTTTAAAAAGTAAAGTAAAAGGATGAAAATGATACTTTGTACTATGTACTTCACTGTCCGTAACAATAATAGACATGTATGAATGTATGATGTATATGAAGTACGTACTCCAATTTCTTAATAATTTACTACTCCATATCAAACTTATCATTGTCAAATGCTTATCTTACTATCACCGATATATAACATATAGTATTATAATCTATAATATGTTGAACATACATGTCTTTATTTACTTCGTACATTGAGACTAATTCAATAATATCAGTTTCCTTTGGATAAGTTAACATAAATAAGTTATTTGAGTACAAATTTAAGAAAGTCTTGCGCTCGAAGAAGTTTTACCCGTGTGCTGCAATGAGTTAGAGTTGGTTTGATTATATTTATGTTAATATTGTATCTTGTTAGGAGTTTACAGAAGTTAAGCAGTTTTCTCCACATCTTTTCTCCACTTTAACAACATGGCATCAGACATCTCTAATTTCTAGAGATTTTTCCATCGATCTTGGTTAGTTCTTGTTTAATTCCACAATTTTTATTGTTTGTTTGAGAAATTTAGGCTTCAAATTTTTTCAAGTTCATCCGTTTCTATATATATAAAGGGTTTATGTTAGAGGACCAACTCAACCGAAAGCTTAAGCTGATGGTTGAGGCCCAGGAATATGTTTTATACTCTATCAGTTTAGTAAGATTTCTAGGGTAGAATTACTTCATACAAAAAAAAAAAAAAAAAAAAAAAAAAAAAAAAAAAAATGAGATCTTTATCAATGGCTTTGCAGAAGAACTCTGAAGTTGTGATCGCTTGTGATCATCACTCGGAGTGGCCATCGGGAACACATAAAGTAGAGGTACTTGTATGGTATGAAGAGTGGGAAAGGACGATCAAATGTTGTGACAAACAAGATGAAAGTTCGTACGTTAAAAGAGATAAAAGATCCTTCTCATTGGGAGTGTTTAATCCGGTAGATTGCGAAGAGTGCAAGTCTTGGTTTTTAAATTACCTTGAATCTTTCGTGTTTCACCCTAACCCGGATGATGTGTTACATGATCTACACAAGAAGGTTTCGAGTCTTCGATTTAGGGTAGCCATAACACATGATGTTGAAAGTTGTGGGACTACTAATGAGATTATTAACCACATTGAGCGACATTGTATATCACACGATAAAGAGTGGTTGATCACTTGGGTAGACTTTCGGGAACAACCATATGAGCAACATCCAACATTGCGCGCAGTGGAGATGGCTAGTAAGGCCGGGAATTTGTCTAAGAAGCTTGATGAGTTTACTTGTGCTATATGTCTTGAAGGGGTTACGAATACGGGAAAGAAGAGGAAGAGATCGAGGTATGGTGGTAAAGAAGTAGCGCGACAGGAAGAACAAGAGGAAAACAAACAAGATTGTGTTGATGCCAAAGTATGTGACATGTCTACCAGAGTTATAAGATTGTTGTCATGTAATCATATGTTCCATAAATCTTGTATGGATAGATGGGTGAAGGATGGCCGTCGTTATACTTGTCCTCTTTGCCGAGTTCACTTGCTGAAAAGATCAAGATGTGTTCTCAATGGGTGTTGCTAAGAACAGGGCTTTGGATCATTCCAAGGCTATTAAGTTCGACATTGATCAATTACATATGTAGTGAGGCGTTTAGGGTTAATCCGAAATCTGGTTCATGTAACCTTGGAGTTGTATAACCTTTGATTTTTTTTTTTTTCTAATATTTTTTATTCAAGTAATCAAAATTACAAGATTTAAATCTTGTTTATCAATTATCAGTCTTATTACTGCTAGTGCTGGCGGCCTTGGCCAGGGAGAGAGGTTGTCTCTAGACTCGCGATTCCTTAAATTAGTATGTTTGAAATGTACCTTCGATTCCATGGCTATGCAGTAGAATGTTGTTTCTTTGCCACTTCCTCAAAGGAAGATTTACCCTGTAAAATTAGAAATTGGGAAGGGAAAAATTATATACAGTACCAAATTTTAAATAAATAGCTAACCTCCATAATCTACTAATTTAGTTAGTTCACAACAAAATCCAAGAGCCTAATTTTTAACCCTTTTCAGTAGCATGTCTAAGACTTGCATAGGCAGCAATAAACGGGTTGATGTTCCCATCCAATACAGAGTTTAAGTCAGGAAGTTGTACACCCGTCTTCAGATCTTCTACTAGCTTGGAAGGCTGCAACATGTACCTTCGCGTATCTTGATCCCATAGATCTACAATTGCATCCCTCTCAATGCTGCTCAAGTCAGAGACACCTTGCTCTGACATCACCACAAGAAGCTTTGCCTTCAAGCGATTCAGTGCTTTCATCTTGTTCGCAAATTTACTCCTCTCACCTGCAATAGAGACTCGGTTTATAAGAAGAATGCACTTATAGTTTTTCAATCTTCATAAAACATATTAATCTTCCTACACCTAACCGCTGTTTCATCACTCTATAATGTATTACTCCATATATTCTAAGTCCTTTCTAATCATTCTGTCATTATATGTAACTCACCAAAATGGCAACAAAACCACTAGTTTCTTTTGTGCTACCCATTAACCATCATAATCACGAACACAGAAGTCAGCTTGTCATAATACCTGAGGATTGCACGCATATGCCTGTAGGAGCATGCTGAATATGAACAACGGGTACAATTGGTCCTGTATCATTTTCACTCGGCAAATAGGACATAATTAGATCATTATCATCTAATGGTAAGTCAGAGATCGTCTCAAGAAACAGAGGAATGACATCCACAGCTGCTAAGATGACCTGCACATAAAATCAGGGAACAGTGAGATATTAGATAATATCACGGAAAGCTCAACCGATTTCTACACTGTACAAAGCAAAGAATGTTGAGTGTTAAAAAATATAAGCTTTTTCAATACTAGTAAGCTATAAGGTGTATACCTCTTTGGAAGCTGTACAACTGCACAAACATTCTTATAGTATTGTTTTTTGTACCAATGCTTACAGAGTTACATATCGATATCATCAGTTGTGCTTTTCAAACTGACTTGAATTGAAGTGCGGATGATGCACCCGCCCTCCTCATATCTTATGCCGACATGTTTCACTGTTAGAATAAAGAGGCCACAGATTCAAGCTTTAAGACCTTTTGATTATCATTGGCCTGATAATGATACCATGTAAATGACCTTATGGTTTATCCTATAATAGTTACTAGGCTTTCAATATACCTCTCAACCTCTGTCCTGAAATAGTTGTTACTATACCAAATATTGAATTTGCAATGTTATTACTGAATCCAAATGGAAGTAGTATATCAGCTTTATGTAGAAATTAGATCAACTGATAATAATAAATGCACTTTCAGAAATCAGCACTAGTTAAGCAAAGTGTACCTCATGGAAACTTGTTTTTTCAAGTGAACTCATCATGCGGTGAACACCTCTTTCGCCAATCAAAAAACCATAAGCATACTTAAATTCAAACTCAATGGTGGCAGACTTGATGCCCCCACTGTTCGAGGAACACTTCTCCAATACTCTCCCTTTGTAACCTTGCTTTTCAGCCCATTTGACATACATGCTTAGAAGTCGTTCTGCCCATATCTGTATTTGGAAACTTGTAAGAGCATACCAAAGAGACGCAGAAAGGAAAATATACAGGCCTAAATCAAGAAGGCACTGGTTATAGACTATTGAGATCAGAATAGACATGCTTGATGCATATATATAGTGAGGTTATTACATTAGCTTGGCTTTCCAAGAAGAAATTATTGCTTATATTAGGGACTGGTATATCCCTTATGGTTATCCAAAATGCACAAGATTTGTGAAAATATTCCACAAAGCATTAAAGAGGGCTTCAACAAGCAATGGTGCAAGTCCCGTATTTTTCTCCCAATTACTCAGCTCTACTTTTCTTCTATTTGATGGGGAAAGAGGACATGGGTTAGGTGGCCCAATCCAACTCAGCTCAATCTAACGGAAAATGGAAGAAATATGCAAACTAGAATCAAACCAGATGAACATAATCAAACTACTCATCCTATAAGTCAGTATCTTGCTACATATGGCATGGTAAAAGAGATTACAATTTAATGCCCATTTCTAGAGAAATTTTTAGCGTCATTGTGTAAGATAAATTGCACATTTGGTCCTATATTGTTCACGCGGCACAAATGCCAAAAGATTTCACCAGACATCTAGATCAAGCCTTCTTTTTTTAAAAACCATTTATGCACAAAAAGTAGGCCTCTATACCTTATTAAATTGAACTTTAGCAAGCATGCAAATATAAATCAGTAAAGTGTCTCCTACGTTGTAATGTTCATGCTTCAGTACTTCAATGAAGAAATTTTTTACTAATAGAACAGAGAATAAACCTCTGAGTAGATGCCTTTGTCTCCAGCTTTAATAACAAGTGATGCTCCATGAATGTCAAAAGGCCCTTTCAAAAGCTTGGACATCTCATATTGATCTAAGAACTTGCTAATATCAACTGATGCATTATATGCTTGCTTTATAAGTCCATAATTTACAGCATCTGTTTCTGCCAGCTCCTTTATAAGTTTTGCATCTTCAATCTGAATACATAAGACAAATCAAGTAGATGAGTGAAGCATAGTGGTCAAGTCAATCCAGCAAATATACATGAATAGGAAATCACGAGATCATGTTCCAGGTATAAAATTATAACTGAGATGGGAACAACAAGATAGTATCATACTACCTAAAAATATCAATCAGTCAGCTTACTAAATCAGGTAAATCTGCAATCATTTTCACAGAGATACTGTTTCACGTTCTTTCACCACTTGGTTCAGTACAGACAATTCAGAGAGAGAACCAAAGTCATTATGCTGGTGATTGCAACTGAAATCACAGTGTCACATTAAACTTAACCATTTTAGTAACTGCATAACTTTATAGTTCTGCAAATATGCCAACAAGCAGCGCCAGACCACTAAACCATTTTCTGCAATTCTTAACCAGTCCAGCATAATCTATTTGCCCAAATCATAGCAATACACATGTATACATGTTTAAGCTATATCATGAAGAACTCTTTTACACAACTCGGAAATGCATGAGGAAAACAATTCAATCACAAAATTGATGCAGAAGAGAAAGTGGCCAAGGTCCAGATAAGAACCTCCAGTAAACAAAAACACAGATCATTCTCTTGTCAAATACGAAGTAGGAAGAAAGTACAAATTGAGCATCACCTTATATGCAAGGTCTTTGAGAGTATCAACAACTTTGGCACGATCAGCTAATTTGGCAAGCATTTCATTAGATTTTACAGGATCATCCCAGTAGTTGTAATCACGCATTTTCTCATCTCTCCAGACAGACATCTCTTCTTCAAGCTGAAGCACTGTTGGTGCCAGCATCTCACCACGAAGAACAGTATCTTCAATTTTCTTTCTCAAAGCAAATGTCCCTACACAAAACACAGTTGCTGACAATCAATTCTACAAAAAGCAACAAATTACAACCATCTTTAAGCACACAAAACTAAGATGACATTTAAGAATCAAGACATAGTAGCACTACCACTAGATTTACTCCCTCACCTCCCAAATCCCACCCCAGGTAAATTTTAGTTGGACATTCAAGAAGCTAAACAATCATTTGCCCAACTATTACTCGGAACAAAGGATCTTACTTTTTGTTACACTATGTCATGATCCTCTGAATACGAATCCAACCACCTAAAACCTTAAAGAAGAATCATATTAACTAATTAGCAACACCTACCATGTGAAGTGGCCTAACTGGTCTACCAAAATTCATCAAGTGATAAGTCTTACTTCATCTCCTTTGCTAATTATGAACAACTCATTTGTGGATTTCATTAACACCGACCGCCTCCCCGCCCCCCTCCATCAACATAATTTTCAATTAGTTCTCTCAGTACCACAAAGGAGGATTAGAGCAATTTAGTCCCATTTGTTTTAATGAATTCAGTCGGTCGCTACACTGCAATTCCTTCTACAATAGTACCCATGTTTAAAGCTCATACCCTAAACTCATACTATCTAGTTGAAAAACAGCAAAATTAATAGAAAGAATAATGATAGCCACACATTTGAATTTCTACCACAAAAGCCCTAATAAACTACTCCATACATAACAAAATGCATTCCATAGTACAAATTGCTCAAAAAACAAGTAAACCAGCAGCAACAACAACAACAGCAAAGCCTTCTCAAAATGAAACAGCAAGGGGAAACAATTATTTTAAAAAAATTAAATAGAAATTACTTTGAAATTACATATTCTATCTTCTTTTTTTTTTAATGCAATAAAAGCTAATTTCTGGCAATACTCAAATTAGAACTGAGAGAGAGAAAAAGGGAGGGTACCCAGTTGTTTAAAGACCCTGTCTTTATCATCAATGGAGTGAGAAGAACGAATTGGGTATGAAAGAAGATGAGTTGGGGTTATCTTCCTGTTCTTGTTCTTCTTCTTCAATGAGGAGGACTTCCATTTGGAGCTGAAAGACAGAGGTTGTGAATTTGCCGCCATTTTATTTTGCAGTTGAACACCTTCATATCAATTGGCTACCCTTATCCATTCAATATCTTCCTAAACAGTCTCTCAAGCTTCTTTAATCTCTCTGTTTTTTTTTTTTTTTTTTTTTTTTTTGGGCACCGTTTCAATGCAATCTTGTAATAATATCTTTACCGTTTAGGCATCAGGCATGTATGTAGGCATTGTAGAGCCAAAAAAGAAAAAAAATTACTCGGTGGAGTACTTAAAATTAAGATAAATTATACGAGATATACGTGACTATGTATGCAGACTTTAGATAAGTAAACTTCGTAGTTATTGTTGGGCTATAGGTCCCTTCCTATGTAAAGAAAGCTCATTTTGATATTGTGAGTGTTTTGGAGCAACTAATATAGATAATGTCTAAATGTGAAGTCTTCTAAGAAGCTTCCTTTCTTGACTTTGAGGGTCCCTTAATGTGGAAGTCTTTGGGCAACAAAGTCTTTGGGGACATAATTATTTGCTGCCAAAACCACAGTTCAATTTTTTTCATTGCGCAGCTTCAAAAATCATCTCTAATCGAGGCTCATCAGTGGTCCGATTTAGCTCAAATTTTGACAGCCTGTTCGGGACATCTAGAGCTTTATTTTTAACGGTGGATTGTCATTTGCTCTTACTGTTCGTGAGATACAACTAATGGACAAAAGTTCACTTTTCTGGTTATATCTCTCAATTTTTTCCGTCATTGTTAGCTCTTATGATTGTTGTTGTTGGGTAAATTGAGTACCCACTTTTAGGATTTGGAATTGTGTGTTGTGTAACTTTCTTGATCATAATAAGAGCAGTTTGGGTGGACTCCCTAATCATCCCGTGGAGTAATGTATCATTTATTTTCTCCTATCATAGGAAACCTAGTTGGCAATGCCCTAGAAGAGTATGGGGTAGGATTTATTGCTAATGATGATCAAACCTTACACCATGAGGATGCGAGGCGACCTCTTATGCCACTACACCAAGAGGTCTCTTTCATCTCTTACTTACATATTGGTTTAAGAAAAGGACGTATAAATATGTAGATTTTGGGTTGTTGTCTTATTTAAATAGTAAAGGACTCTGTAAACTGGACATTACAAATCTAAATTATACTCCGTAGCTCGTACTCTATTTTACATCTTAATTCTCCTCCAATCAACTCCAACTATAACGATAATACTCGTAATTGAAATGAATTTTCCCTAACCTAATTGCAAAGTTAATCAAAAGATTTAATAATGTTAACTAGAGACTAACTTGAATTAATATTTAGGAAAATTTGAATTTTGGTACCTCGAATATGGGGTAATTGAATTTTAGTACCCATCTAAAATTTTATTTTAAATTGGTACCTCCAAAAGTGTAACTTTATAGGTTTTGGTACCTCCGTCCATGTTCCGTTAAGTTTTCCGTTAGTGGGGTCCATTATCTAATTATTTAATAATTTAAATTATTAAAAAAAAGAAAAAAACATTTTTAAAATAAAAAAACAAAAAAAACTTATAAAATAAAATAAAAAAAAAAACACTAGCCACGCTTCCCTCCTTATTCCGGCCAACGGCGACCACCAAGCCACGGCAGCTGCCGCCGCGACTAGGCACGAAGCCCAGCCGCCGCCGCGGCCAGGCAGGGGTGCCAATAAACCCACCACCCACGAACCCAAGAACCCAGAAACCCACCACCCACAAACCCCGAAACCCACCACACCCGGCCCCACCACCCACGAACCCCCGAAACCCACAACCCCACCACCCACGAACCCCTAAACCCACCACCCTCAACCCACGAACCCAGAAACCCACCACCCTACCACCCACGAACCCCGAAACCCACCACCCACAACCCAGAAATTTAACCCTAAAACCCTAAAAATTGATTTGGGGGAAAGGGGGAAGGGGTGATGTCGAGGCAGCCAAGAGTGAGAAAGAGGAGGGAAATCGGCGACGGGAAAGGGAGGGGGTTTTCGATGTGGTGGTTTTCAACGAAGCACGGACACTCGTAAGTTCAGGCGTGTCCGAGTCGACACGCGTGTCGGACACGGACACGCGTGGGACACGGGGCAAAACGTCTCGGACACTCCAAAAACCGTGTCCGGTTTATTTTTGACGTTTTTGATTTTTGGACACGGGCCGTGTCACCCTTAGACACGGGCCGTTTTGGTATGACACGGGAAATAACCTAAAGTCTTGCTCTCTGCTTTGCCTCTCTGCCTCCCTGCCTATTTCCACTTCTCAATTTCTCATCTTCCTCTCTGCCTCACGCGAAATCAGTCATCACCATTGTCATCACTCAGTCACTGTCGTCGTTGCTCCACCCACCACCCACCACTCCACCGTTCGCATCAACACAGTCAGCTGTCGTCGTTGCTCCACGCTTGGTGTCACTCAGTCACTGTCGTCGCTGCCTCTGCCTCATTCAATTGCCGCTGTTCGTCCTCAGCCACCACCCACCACTCCACCGTTCTCATTGTCGTTGCTGACTTGCTGTCCCAGACTCCCAGGTATGGTTCTCAACGTTTTTTTTTTTTTTTAAAAATTCAATTAATTTTCTGCATTTCAGTTTCATGAATCATGTAATTAGAAATTTAGAAGTTGAAGCTGAAGGGTAATTGGATGTCTCGGACGAAATTTGTGGGTATCAAAGAAATTTTGGTTGAAATTGAAGAAATTTTGTAAGGGATTTTATAGTATAATAATAATAATTGAGTTTTTGGAATCTGGGTTTGGTGAGCATGTGCACAAGAATACCTCATACACTTCTTTCTAAATTTGTGAAAAGTTAGATTTTTTAATTTAATTAATTTTATTTAAATGTATCTTCTTTGAGATCAGTGGAATATTGCTTCTGGATTATTTTTTTCATTTGTGTTTATTAAATGTAGCATGTGGATCCTGGGGTTTTGAAGATGCAATGTTCACTGTGTCTTGATTCCTATTGTTCTGGGATTTGTGTAATTATGTTTGCTTTTATACTTGGAGCTTTGATAGCATTTATCTCCTTCATATTTGGTTGATTAAAGAGTGTATTACCAACGTGAATGACGAGGCTTTATAATTGTGTTATTAAGCTTCTTTGATCTGGTTTTATTATATAAGAAAACTTTGATGCTTTGAGAGAAGTTTCTAATTTTAGTTTTGATTAGTGGTTCTATAAGTAGAAAATTCAGTTTCTGTGGTTCTTGTTGTTGCTAATTTTGCTGTGATGTGAATAATGTGTTTTGTTGGACTTGTTATGGTTAATCATGACTATCTTCATTGATATAAACTAGTGTATTTGGTTTGATGGTTTCTTGATATGTATGAGACTATGTCCGTACACTTAGTTCATTTACTTGTTTAATTAAAATTGTGTGTTTTGAGGCTAATTATTTAGTGTTTTATTGAATTAGTTGTCAAATTCTCGTTTTTTTAATATATTATATGACTTGTTATACGCCGTACCCGTGTCCCCTATTTCAGGATTGCCGTTTTCCCGTGTCCGTGTCGTGTCCGTGTCCGTGTCCGAGTCCGTTTCCGTGCTTCCTAGGTGGTTTTCAGATCAAGTGGGTAGGGGGGGCGTCGTTGCGGGGAGGCAGGGCTGGTGGGGGGGTGGCGTCAGTGCAAGGAGGTAGGGCTGGGTGGCGGGGTACTATTATTTTTTTTAAGTTTTTTTTTAAAATTATTTTTTAAGTTTTTTTTTTAATTAAATGTTTTTTTTTAATAAATTAAATTATTAAATAATTAGATAATGGGACTCACTAACGGCAAAGTTGACAGAATGCTAACGGATGTACTGATATCTATAGTTTAGTCATTTTTGAGGTACTAATTTAAAATAAAATTTTAGATGGGTACTAAAATTCAATTACCCCCATTTTCGTGGTACCAAAATCCAAATTTTCCTAATATTTATAAGATTATAGTTTGTGTACAAATAGGTCGATTATTGAAAAATATCTTCAACATATGTTTATCAAATTCAAACTTATGTGGGAATTTTTCGCCAAACCAAAAGGTATAAAAATATCCTAAGATGACCACATCAATGCTTTATTTGATGAAAAAAAAAAAAAAACTCAATGTATATGGTCTTCTTCTATTCACCTTTTTTTTTGTTCTATTCACCTTAATCACCTAGTAATTACTAATTTCAAAAGAAAAGAAAAAAAAAAATGGAACAAAATAATAATGATAAAAAAAAAATATATATATATATATATATTAAAGTAAAACACACATAAATATTAAGTCATAGACTCAGAGAATAATAAAACTCAAGCTGATTCCTTTATATCCCCCACAATTTCAGCAAAATGATACAGATTTCAGCCTGCAGTAGCTAACTTAATCTCCTCCTTCCTCCCACTCCATAAATACTAAATATTACATACATTATTATGTTAAAAATTTACATCTACTCACTATTTCAGTCCTAAAAAAGCATAGGAGAGTAGAACTTGATAGATCTCAAAGAGATTCTGCAAACTGAGGAGCATCCAAATCAAGTTCTTGCTTCATAATACAGTTCATAAACCACTCACTACTGAATGTTCGAAGGCCATTCTTCACAGCTAACAGTGCTTCTTCCATGTCTTCTTCACTTGCGACAAAGATTGTACTTGACTTTTCGCTTCTGTTGCTAAAACCAACATGTACCTGGATTTTTGTATATCAAAGTAGTAGTTAGTTAACATGGGATATTATTCCTCCTAACCGTTTTCCCTATTGAAACAGACAAATCTTTCTGAAATACTAGAGCTAGGCAATCTGGGTCTGTTAATGCTTTTTTTTATAATGCAAGCCGGGAGTTAAAATAGATTAAAAGAGTTCAGCAGAATACAAAGCATTTAAGGAGGTCAGTTAATGCTGTAAACCAGTAAAATGACAGTATTTGGGGGCTTACTCTCATGCTGAGAACAAGGTGCACAGACTGCACACCAGGACTATAAATAGGAGAAGAGTGCAAAAGATGATTATATATAACTTGAAACTCTTGAGTCTTGACACTTGAAAGCACAAACTTTCCTAGAACATTAAATTAGCAGGTAGCTGAATCAACCAAAACTTTCAACTAAGGAATTTTCTAAAGTTAAGGACTTATGAACAGACTATTAAGCTTTAATTGCCACTGCTTTGATCTCGTGTCTACTGCACTTACAAAAGATAATAGATAACTCAAGATAGGAGTTATGGAACCAATACGAATGATTAGGTACCATCTTCTCTCTGCAAATGAATGGTAGCACATGAAAAGAGAACTTGACAAGGAATTTGGAATCAAAACTCAGCTTAATGACTCCCTTCTCTCTACCATAGATGAAGTGCAGCAATAGGCTTACCATAGCTAAATAGCTAATGAATTAATTTAAAAGATTTGTGCCGGTCACATATTTTGTCATTAAAAAATTCCTATTAGTCCTTGATTGATTCAAATTGACTCAATTGAGGCATAACTTATGTTTGAAAACCACCTAGTTACTGTCCACATCAATGATGTGTTCACCTTCATACTCAAATTCAACATATTGAAAATAGATGCAACTGCAAATCTGAATTCAAGAGAGCTAAAACGACAACCACGCTACTTATTGGAGTAATACTTACATCACCACCAGCAGATTTGACAACAGCTGATAGCATGTTAATAGGGGGATGAACATGAGTTGTAAGGCAGATAGTATATCCTTTGAGCAATCCTTGAGGATTTCTTCTGGCTCTAAGAACAGCTTCTTCTAGATCAACCCTGTACTTCATTAAGTAATCCTCATCCTTGAGAAGGAAGGGACATTCATCTGCAAAAGTTCAAATAGTGCTCAGTAATGATATATAAATATACGCCTGAGCAAGCTCTACGCAGAAGGAACAAATAAACATGTTTCTCAAGGATGACATAATCTTGAAGACTAACCAACAAATGTGCCTTTCCTGGAACATTCTTTTAGCCAATTTGGTGAGAGTATCCAAGCCCTGCCAAATGATTAAATGCTTAGGACTCAAATTAATGATAGTGACATCTAAAAGAAAAAAGATAAATCCTCAAGACAATCAAATGGAACCACTGTCCCTCATTAATTAAACACAAAGATTAAAAAAGACAGTAGATGATGTGTTAGAAAAAACTGATCTCACAAATAAATACTGGTGCATAGATGCTGAAGTAGTAAGGTAATATAGGGAAAATGATAGATATATTATACTAATACATATGATAAAGCTTAGGATCAGGAACATCAGTTGAGGCATTGCAAAATAATAAGTACAAACAAATTATAAAGGAAAAAGGGAGTGTCATAAGCAAAAGTAACTTGGTTATTAATGCTAACCCAGAACATAAAGCAGTGCAGAAGTTCAACGTTCTTCTGACTTTTCCTACAAGAACATGTGTACATGAGCTTCCATCTGCAGTGATAGCTCCACCAAGGTCTTCTACTATCTGTACCCATAATAACATCAATGTGTAACTAAACTCAACGTAATAGGAAACATAGCCAGAAGCAGGAATTAGAGAATTTACGTTTCAAAATAAAACTAGATTCAGACATAAATTTCAACAACCAATTCAAGTGTTACAGGAAAGTGCAAAACTGCCTCCAACACTTGCATTTTAAAGCATCCGCCAAAACCCATTTTTAGCTCTTTTTTCTTTTTGGACACCCAACCCAAAAGGAGCTTCAAAAGTGAGACTTAGTAATCCTCCACAATCATATACGTAGTATTAACTTATACACACCTTTGTAAGATAAACTTTTTTAGGTCCAGCAGCAATATCCATTAACATGATATTAAAGTACATTCCCCTTGCCTCAAACCCGTCAGAAGCCATTGAAGAATTTGCAGTCTTGTCCTTCATCGATAACATATTTTCTTCTAATCCCAAGAAAGCCCCATCAGAAGGAAAATCATCTTTGCCTTGCTTGTTTGAAACCATAATAGAATCCGAACATGACTGATCTAAAACTTGAGCAGCCTTTACTCTTTTGGAGTTCAATGACGAAGAGGAAGTTTCCCAAACCCTCCTCTTTGTATTCCGTTTATAGGTTGAAGAAATTTGTTTGGCAACCACTGCGGCAGATAATGATTCATCTACTGCATCACCATCCACTTTCTCCTGGGTAACCAAATGCTGGTGGCTTTGTACTGATATGCTCTCTGAAGAAACAATGAATAAAAAAACATTGTAATACATGTTATCACAAAGCAATCCTACATTCCTACCAAGTGAGGATAATTAAACACCCAACTGGATACTTCCACAAAGTTGCATCACAAGAGAAATTCCTAACGCATCACACTACAGCTTATACAAAGTTTTTCCTTGCAAACATTCCATTTCACATAATCCAAAGTAATTACAAATTGGCCATGATATAAGGAAGAGAAAACAGGGAAAGGTTTTAGTTGTTTTTTTATTTCTCTGAAAAAAGAGAAGCATTGATTATTTGACACAGGATACATACAGCTACTGAAAACTGCATTCTGAAATGCCAGAATATAAATTTTCCCACACGTGGAGGGAGGTTGAGCAGGCATACTGATTTTCAAAGGCAGAACAGCATCCTGGGGCTTGTAAATTGGAAAAATAATGCTAAAATGGAGCATGAAATTTTTGTCTCTGAAACTCACCATTTGGCTCTAGCTGTAGGTTTTCTTGGCCATTCTCATTTCCTAATGCTGAAGCAAAAGCCACCTCAGTACCCGCTAGGCTGTAAAACTCATCAGTTGCTGAGGTTGACTTCTTGGCTGAGTCCAAGCACAACTTTATCGAATAAACCTCAATATCATGGAGATTCTCACTTAGATGAGTAACCATGAGTGTTGAACCACCAGGAAAGCATAGTGCCCGGCGTATATCTGCTCTGATAGGAAGCTTACGAACTCTACCTTTGGTATTCACCTCTGCTATTGATACAAATCCCTGCACACAGATTACATTGTTCAAACAGGTGTGCAACTAGTTTGCCTTAGATCAATATAGAAGCAACTATGATATATATAGAGAGAGAATATATACTACAAGATATCTTATGGCATGCTGAATAAATATCTCCTGTTTCTCAATCTTTTAAGGTGCAAAAATCTAACAGAAAGAACTACTATTTGCACTTTAAGGTGTACTGCATAAATACATAATCAATATCCAAAATCCATAACGAAAGATTCCTTTAGTATACAAACCAAGGTCACATAAGCAAACAAGAAATTGGATGTATCAGTAGCTTCAAGTCTTCAACCATCCACGAGTAATTCATAAGAGAAGGAAGTACTAAGAGTACCTGTTTATGCCAAAATCCTTCTGATTCTTTGTCTCCCCAGCACAAAATAGTGGATATGCCGACATCCTGAAGTCTCTTTCTTAATTCCGTGTACAAGAGTCGGCCAACTCCCTACAGGTTCCATAAATAATAAGCAAAGTGATTGGTAGAACAAATCAAATTGATAGCAAAAGTTTTAAATTGCTAGCAGAAACAACATATAGGAAAAAGATTGGTTCAAAAGTTCAAAATTGGAAAGAATCTATTGTTCTTTCTTTTTCTCAAACTAACGATTTTCCACATAGCTTTACATCCGTATAATCTTTATTATTACTCGTTTTAATCATTAATCAAAGTAGCAATGTCCAGAAGACCAACTAGATACACTCATACACCAGAAGGCGCAAGGGGAAGCAAAGTCTCAAATATTATATATAATATCAGCTTTGAAAGCAACAATATACTTTATTTTCAGGTACAATATCACTAAACTTCATAAAAGGATGAGCAGTCACGTATCATAGAAAAGAAAATGACAACCTTGTGCTGGCATGATGAACTAACGGCAGCTAGTGGAATTTCAGCATACTGTGTATCGGTCGGGATAATTTGATAAGTAATTGCTGCAATAACCTGCAGAACAAAAGTGGAGAAAATGATTTATAACAAACTCTATCAAGCTACCCTTTTCATTTCCAAATAAATTTATAGCCTCGTGAAGGCAAGGAGTTGGTAAGTGCAATACTTTTCTGGCATTATTCAAGCATAAATTATATAATCATCTGATAAAGAGTTTGGTCAAAGAGATGCGTAATTTAAAAGTTGCCTCTATGGTACAAAACTGTAATTTTTCCTATGGTAAGAAAATTTCACGACCAACAAAATCGTGGAGAAAGAATGGCAATAAATTCACAAGGTTCTGTTTGGAGTAATTTACCTTGTCCGAGTCTTCAGAACACTTCTGACTCAAAACAAGGGTGCAGAACTTCCTGAAAAGGCCAAGTAAAATTCAATCAAACATCAGAAGTAAAATCAAAGTCCCCTCATCACCAACCTCCTTATATAGGTTAGCATGTTAGCAGTCAGTTTGGTAATGCTTTGACTTTCTATATTATTCAACCAAAAAAGTCCTGGTTTTACTTAGTTATACACAAGAGGAGCACAATTTGGTGATGCCAACAGATGAAGACACCATTAGTAAAATGAGAGATAATAAACACAACATACCCGCTTGAAACACATCTTTCAAGGAATGACGATTGCTTTCCAGTGTTAGCAGCATAGTTCATGGAAGGCAGCTCTTTCGTGTACAAACTTAAGATGTCCTGTCCCCAACAGAGTGAATTGAAAAGGTGCAATTAACCTTTATTCAATCAAGGTAAGTATTTAAAGTTACAATAAATAAAGGTTGATAGCAATAAAATGTATCATAGATCATAGTCAATGAAATGTTATCAAAATATTTATCGAGTACTACTTCTGGTACTGCTTAAGTTTGCTGTGGTCCTGACTCCTAAGAGGTGTTGTGAAACTTTGAACCTTGATGTTTCAACAAAGTACAGTTGGTGTATAGCCACCCCTTTGAATACTACATCATTCCTACAGTTCACTATGATTCTTCCATGCACTTTGCACCCTTACACTATAGGGCTTTATAATTTAGGTACCTCAAAACAACAATTTTAACACAATTATTTTCTTCAATTACTCTCATAGCCACCCCTTCTTTCAAGTATTTGGCTCGAGGCCTTCTATCCGCTACACCTCATCTTCATTAGACTATTACATTCTTTCAAACGGATGGGAATAAAAAACGTTCATCTCTTCTATTCAAGTCTTCCACATCATCTTTGGAGCTTAAACAACACTACCATTGAGTAAACTAACTCTTAATCATCTAACCCCATACTTTATACTTAAGCAATATCCATCAATTGACTTCTTAAATATCACTACAAAACATGGAACTCTCTAGTACTAATACGGTTATACGGCATAAATTAATTTGTATAAATGAATTTGTTTCCATATGAAAAACAATTTTAGAAGCACATTTAATAAACAATCAAAGATTATACCTGAAGCATAGACTTGGTACGACTACCAGCATCTTTAGGACTAATAAGCAAGAATTGACAATCGACAGATGAAGTAGATTCTCCTTCTTTCTCTTAACATCCCAACAAAACAAACAAATAACAAATTCAGAAATTTACCTCATAATTGCATAACCTAATATATCACAAAAAATAAAACCCTAACAAATGGATTTAGATAATTTTTTAAAAAATTATATTTACCCTTTTCATCTAATTTTTGGCTTTTGTTTATACCTTCCGCCACTGTAATTATGTATTAATTAACAAACGTAAATTAGCAATTAAAATCATGAAATATAACATTTTTCAAAAACAAATAAAATAAAATAAAAATTTTAACCTGAAATTTTGATTTTGATCTTTTTTGAAGCAGAAATCAGCACAGAATCCTGATTTGTTTCACATTTGAAACTCTTATCGGCTCCATCAACAAAAACCTCGCAATTTCCTGACATCAAACCAAAAAAATCCACAAAAATCAAGAAAATAAAATTGATAAGAACAAATAACTCTCAAAATATTGAAATAAAATGCAATTAGTAGAAATTTTTGAGATTACCAATTGAAATGGGTGTGAAATTGTTGGAGCTTGAGGAAGAGGGTTTCTTCCGCGCCATTAGAGTAATTTTGAGAGTGTTTATTTTGAAAATGTTGAAATGTTTTGTAATGGCGGAAGTCTTTTATAATAATTTAGCGCCAAAGCTTTTGGTAAAAAAAAATTAAAAAATAAAAAATGCTTGGGCTTTTGGGCCTTTTATATGGACTGATTAATGGGATCGCTTGAAAATTGAAAATGCAAATAATTGGGAATTTGGGTAGAATTTGGGACCTATTTCCTTTTTTTTTTTTTTTTTTTTCCTAGTATTTCATTTTACACCTTTATCCGAATAAGTTTTATATGTGGCTAGTATGGTAGGGGTTACTCGGTCAGTCACATGATACTCAAGTTACGGGGTTACTCGATCGGTCATGGGTTACCAAGTTAGTGTTTTTAGTGTGTGTTAGCTGAGCACACGGTATTACCAGCCATGTAGAAAACGCCCTGATGTCAGAATAATCAAGATGTTTTTGTGAGATCAAATTGCAATCTTGCTCATGTTTAGGGTCTTAGAAACAAAGTACATCCTTTGTTCCGCCTCAACATATGTGGAAAACATTTAAGATGTTATTAAAATAGATGTGTGAAAAATTGAAAATGGTTTGTTTTGTAAATATTCATTACAATTAGAGTTGTGCATCGGTCCAAAACTGGACCAAAAATGAACCGGAACCCGAAATTGTTTTCTTTGGGGATCGGGATTGGACCGTAATTAACTGGTCCGGGTTTCGGTCTATACCTGTTTATTCCGATCCGGTCTGGCTTTGGACCGGACCGGCTATATTCTTTTCTCTTTTTTTTTCCAATTTAGTATCTTAATAGATACATAAATTTTTAACGTCTTGTTTTTGTTTGCGTGTTTTCCTATTTGCACATAGAATTTATAAATTACAAGTTTTGTACCTATTTTTTTTAAAATTTAAACATAAAATTTAACATTTTCACCTAAAAAACTACAAAAATACACTTTTCAGTCCGCACCGGAAACCCGGAACCGCCAATTTGTAAGGACCGGAGACCAACCCGGTCCGATCCCGGTCGTTTTCCAGTCTAGGTCCATTTCTGCACACCCCTAATTACAATATTTGATTACTAGATTGATAGATCATAATATAAAATCATATTAAGATCCTACCATTTAAAAATGTTAATGAGATAGAATAATAAGATCCTAGAAACTAAACTAAGACATGATCAACGAATAATGACATGTTTATCGGTAGAATATTAAGATTATTTGAGTTGGAATTCTAACAACCTACAAGATTCAAAATAGTGCTAGCTAGCATAAATTAGCATCCATAAACCACTCATTTTGTTCATCTTCAAGGCACACAATGTATCTACTTCATATTTGACATCTAGTTAGTATAACTCATCTTAACACATGTACTTATTATTGTAACATACGAAAAACACAAGACTTCCAAATTACATTCTTTAATTAGCATATAAATTCTCTTTTCCAAATAAGAAAACGTGGCAACTCAATTTCATGCACAAACATTCCACAGCTTGACACATACAAACCGACCACCATTACGTAATCTCATTAAAACCTTTCCAAACTTTATATATATAAACGGCAAACTTTATCTTATATCAAATTTCATACATATACCATCACATTAATATTTATAACAACAATACTAGCTAACACAAAAATATCATCAATCCAAATAATAAAATTCCAAATTTTAAGATCATATATATTATTTCTTCCATTAATATCATGCAAATAAATGATGATGATGATAAAGTGATGTTATTATCATCACCTCCGTGGGAAATCTTAAACCTAGTTTCTCATTACTTAGACCCAAACACCTTAGCCATTGCCACGTGTGTGTCTAAAACATGGTCCACGTGTTTCTCCTCCGACCACTTGTGGGACCCACTTTGCACGGCCACCTTCCCCACCCTTGCAACCACCCTCGGGTCGGTAGCCGCCTCGCTCCCTCGCCACCGCCTCTACGCTCTCGGCCACACCGCGGCCCTTTGCCGCCAATGGAAGCCTCGTAAGCCTCGGCTCTCCCTCGACCACCTTCTCTTTGTCATCGCGGTCCACCTCCCCGGTGGATCGTTGAATATGATCAAGCCATGCATCGACATGCGGAGGGACCCACACGGGTTGTTTAGGTTCGACGTTGAGGTGGTGGAGGAGAGGGAGTTGAGCTTGGAGGAGTTGAAGGAGGCGAAGGTGACGTGGACGGTGGCGGAGAAGGAATGGAAGGCGGTGTTTGTGTTAGCTGAGGAGAGTGTTGGGAAGTTGGCTTCTGGTGTTGACGGGTTCTTTTCAAAGGAGTTGCCGTCGCCCGGGTGTTGCTCGAACACCATGTCGAGCGGGCTCGTGGCGGATATTCGATTCGGGTTGAAGGATAGTCAAGATAGTAGCAGGAGGAGTAGTGGTGATAGAATGAGTAGGATTGAGAAGGTGAGTGTTGGGGTTATGAGTGTGCTTAATTGGAGACATGTTAGTGTTGAGGATGTCCTATTTTACTTGGAGCACTTCCTTCAAGTTTGATTAGGATCGGATGTCATCAAGTACTCGCTCTGTCCCTTAATATCTCACTTATAAGGAAATTATTAGGGCAATTTTGAAAGAAAGGGTGTATACAAATTTTATCTCCTAATTGGTAATTAGGAAATCAAGATATATCGTTCAAGACGTACTCAATAGTGTAGTATTTTTTTTGTTTTGTATTTTTATGTTCTACTTTTGTAGGTTGGTTTTTTTTTTTTTTTTTTTTTTTTTTTTTTTTTTTCTCTCCAAAAGGTACGTTTGTTTATATAGGATATAAGTGTAGATTGCTTTTATATAGGTTATATGTGCAAATGTGTAATGTGCTAGACTTTTTTTTTTCTTTGGTGTAGTAGACTTAACATGAGGATCATGCATTCATGCGTATGCATGTCATGTTGTCAAAATTTTCATGTGTATATATTGACAATTAGCAAAAATGCAAGTCAATTTATGATGTGAGTTGCGGCTAGAACACACTCTCCCCATAAATTCTTAATTTGTTGCAGTTTAGAAGATGCCCTGATGTGTTTACTTCTGAAGTTGAGTGGGCCATTAAATGTGGCAGAAGAAATAAGCCTCAACATTAGATTTATTTTATGTTTTTTCAATTTGTAGCTCTCTCCCTTCTGTCATGTGTTTTACAATGTATTATATGTGTTTTAAAATGCTGGCTATGATTAACACTTCTTCTTTCCGCTTCCTTGATACATTTGCTTCGTTTTGAAGGAGGGGAAACTAGAAAATGGCTAAGAGAAGTACTTCTCTTTGGAGCTTGTTTTTGTCCCCAAGGGTTAAAGCTGCAGCTTCTGCTTCACCTGGGTTGTCTCCTCAATATATATATATATAGAGAGAGAGAGAGAGATAGATAGATAGATAGAGAGAGAGAGTGAGAGTGTGAAAATGTCTTGATCTAGCACAAGTTCGTCACAAGCCATGCATGACATAAGAGGCATGTTGGCGAGCCGTAAATCGTGCATGTATATTATTTTCAAAATTTAGTGTGAATTCAACTTTACTATGACGAATCAATATCAATTGGCTTATTATTGATCAATATAACTATTATAGACTGTTTAAATTATTATGGGGGTTTACTGGCACAATATGTTAAAATCCCTTGCATGGACTCTAGGGGTGGGACTTCGGTCTGGCGGTTCGGTATGACCTCGGTTTGAGTCGGTTTCGGTTTGAAGCGGTTCGGATTGAAACGGTTTAGTTTAGCTGGCGGGTCGGTTTGGTTCGGTTTGGGTTAGTCACGGCTCGGTTTGGTTTCGGTTTATTTCTTTGCGGTTTAAATTCGGTTTGGGTCATAAGCGGGTCGGTTTATAAACGATTCGGATTATGTCGGTTCGGTTTGATACGGGTCGGTTAAGGGGGCGGGTTTACCCGGGTCAATGTCAGTTCGGTTTACAAACGGTTTGGATCAAGCCGGTTTGGTTTGAAATGGGTCGGTTTAGGGGCGGGTTTACCCGGGTCAATATCGGTTCGGTTTATAAACGGTGCGAATCATGTCGGTTCAGTTTGAAATGGGCCGGTTTAGTGGAGGGTTTACACAGTTCAATTGGTTCGGTTTATGAACGGTTTGGATCATGTCGGTTCGGTTTATAAGCGGTTTGGGTCATGAATTCATGATTGTTTTAAAGATCGCGTCATGACCATGATTTAATGAGTTGATACTTATAATACGATAAATCGATAATTAAGAATGTACAAGTATTCAATTAGATTGATCAACAAGTGTTTTAAACTTTTAAGTTTTAATGATCAGATATGTAAATATGTTTATCGATTATAGTACATACCAATAATTCAATGAGGCAATGATACTTATGATAGTATGATAATGATACCAACCGTACATTCGTACGATATGATATACATAATAATTAATCTATAATTACATATACATTAACAATATCGTATTGAATCAATTTCCATTTCCAAACATTGCATTTCTTATAAATTATAACTTACACGAGATTAAATGGATTCGTTATTTAGTTTGTTACTTTATTTAGATTACTAACTCAAACAACTTAATAAGTTAAATGGACGAAATCACGAAATCACTAATTAAAGTGGTGATGAAATCATTATGCAATACTAATGTACGAATAGTCAAATATACAACGGTTAGATTGAATGCCCATGAAAAAACAATGGTTAGATTTTCATTACTTTATTAGTTATTAGTATTACTTATTAAGTTATTATTAGTTTATTATATATATATACTAATATACAGTCACAGACTCACAGATATATATAATATACATATAGAGATGTCAGATATTGATGTGCATTAACTCATTAAGTCATTAACTATGTCGTATTGAATCAATTTCAATTTTGAAACATTTGCGTTTCTTACAATTTATAACTTATAAGTAATAAACTAATAATAATAATAATAATAATAGTAATAATAATAATAATAATAATAATAATAATAATAATAAATAATAATAATAATAATAATAATAGTAATAATAGTAATAATAATAATTATTATAATAATATTATAATAATAGTAGTAGTAAACTAGTAATAATAATAATATTAACAAATAATTATACTAACAATAATAATAATAATAATAATAATAATAATCCCTCAAAATAATAATAATAATAAATAATTAAAAAAAACGGTCAAAAAGACCTAGAAAAGCACAAAGAAAAATCTAGACCGTTAGATCTAGATGAATATTCTGGAATCTACAAAAAAAAATGAATGGTTAGATGTTGAGATTGAATATGGACGGTTAGATCAACTGAACAAGTAAAACCTAAACCTAGAAAAAAAAACCCACTCTATCAGCCATTCAACCGTTTTACTCCCTCATAGTTTCTCTCTCTAACTTCTTAGTTTCTCACTCTTTCGTTCTGAAATTCTCAAGAATCTCAAGCTCAACTTCTCAACTTTTAAAAATCCTAATTAGGGTTTTTGTTTTCGTTTCATTTGTGTTTTGGATCTACATTTCTGATTTCTCGCTTTACATTCTCGTTTTTTTGTTTTTTCAAATCTTCCACTCCTTCAATTTGAAGGCTTCAAGCCGTCAAAAGTTCAAAACTCAAGGTAATTTTTTGTTAATTTTTGTTGTTTTCGTTTTGATTTTTTTCGTTTTTGTTTCGGTTTGTTTATTTAGGGTTTTTGTTTTCGTTTCATTTTTGTTTTGGATCTAAGTTCTGATTTCTGACTTTTCCATTCTCGTTTTTTTTTCCAAATCTTCCTCTCCTTCAAGCCGTCAAACCTCAAGGTAATTATTTGTTAATTTTTGTTGTTTTCGTTTTGATTTTTTTCGTTTTCGTTTCGATTTTTTACTTTTTTTATTTAGGGTTTTTGTTTTCGTTTCATTTTTGTTTTGGATCCAAAGTTCTGATTTCTAACTTTTCCATTCTTGTTTTTTTTTTTTTTTTTTCAAATCTTCCTCTCCTTCAAGCCGTCAAACCTCAAGGTAATTTTTTTGTTAATTTTTTCGATTTTTTTCGTTTTCGTTTCGGTTTTTTTATTTCAAGTTCTAATAATCTACATTCTTGATTTTTTCTTTTGATCTCCAGTTCAGGCAGTTCTCCATCTTCAAATTTCCTTCAAGTCGTCAAAGGTAATTACTTTTTCCTTTTCGTTTTTTTTTAATATAGTTTTTCTGTTTTTGTATTTGATTATTGTTGTTGTTCTTGCTTGAATATAGTCGAAATATGCCTAAAATCTGTTGTTGATTGTATTTTTGTTTTTTACGGGAAAATGGTAGATTTGTGCTGTTTTGTTGTTTATTATGCTCGATTTAAAAGTAATGATGATGGGTTGTTCAGATTATGTGGTTATTGGCTTTTTTACCTAAGAAAAGACCAAATTGTGTCACTTTCTGCAGTTATGTGCATAAAATAAATGCTAGTTTAGGGCTAGTAAAATAAACATCTCATGTTTATTTATAGGTTCATAATTTCATTGGAAACTTTTGAAAAAGTTTAAGCTTTTCTTATGTATGCTTTTTTCTTTTTGAGGATATAGGGGTAAACTTTTGCCAAAGAATGTTGAGGCATTGGTTACCACCCAAAATTGGTGTCGCGGATGTTGAGGAAGACGTCCTCCTAATTGGTAAAGAAATTGAAGCCGAAAGTGCTTCATCTGCATAACTGGTATTTGTGTCTCATTGTGGTTTATTTTATCTTGAAAAATCGTTGCCCTTGTCATTTATTTTCAGACTTGCTGGTAGCATTTTTCAAGACTTTTAAAATCGTTGCCCTTGTCATTTATTTTCAGACTTGCTGGCAACATTTTTCAAGACTTTTAAAATCGTTGCCCTTGTCATTTATGTTGAGACTTAAATAGTTAAATGTATTTTGGTACTTGCTGGCAGCATTTCTTAAGTTTTTGTTAAAACAACCATTGCTCAGTGATGTAAATCTGAGAGCAATTTTAAAAAAACAAAAGCTATAATTTTGAAGTTGCTTGAACTTGTTATGAGCTGTTGCCTGCTGGTAGTGCTTTTGCCTTTTGGTTGTTGTCTCTGCTGAGTTGTTATTGCCTATATTGTTGCCTGCATGAGCTGGTTCCTGCCTCCTGCCAGCTTGAGGTGCTGTGTTGCTGCCTTTTGTGTTATGAATTTATGATAAGTTTTGTTGCTGCTGTTTCTTATGCTTGCTGTTTTAATTTTTCTTGATTCATCGTTGCCCTTGTCATTTATGTTGAGACTTCAATGTATATGTACTTGCTGGCAGCATTTTTCAAGTTTTAAGTTAAAACAGCCATTGCTCAGTGATGATACGATAAACGTAAATCTGAGAGCAATTTTGAAAAACAAAAATAAGTTCCTGCTCAGTCCCTTCTGCTTATATTATTCCTTGCTTCTGATAAGTTGTTGATCTGTTATTCCGTGTGCTGGTTCCTGCTTGTTGCTGCTATTTCCTCTGCTCTTGGGTGTTGTGCTGCTGCTTCAAGATTCTGCTTCAAGATTCTGCTCCCAAATCACTCACATTCTCACTCCTCCCTTCATCTTATAATGTATCATTTTTTGCAACCCTAAACTTGATGATGTTTCAGTTGATAAATCTGAAATCTAATCTGGGTAGTAGTGATAGTAGTTTCATTATGTATTGGTATATGTATTGTGAATTTTAATCAATGAAAATGGTGACTTTTTTAAATTGCTTGTTGATATTACTCTAATTTCAATGCTATTTATCTGCTGGATTTGTGGTAATGTT